TTGAACCCATTTTGCGGTTTAATAGTTGACCCAGATCAGACGAATATTTCAGTATCAGATACTCACGTGTTCCGACCTGGTCGGCCGCGCCAAACGTCCGGGCCTTGGTACTTCGTCATCTGGCAGAGCGTACACAGATCCTGAACCAGTATGTCCTGGCCACACTTGTCTCTGGGGTGCAAAACCCATCAAGACCTGCTGCTGGCCGGCAGGTACATCGTCCTCGTGAAGCCTGAATCGACCCGTCTCCGTCGCCTCCTCCTGAACATCTTCCAACAGAGAGTCCTCGTCTCCAACGTAGGCATCAGCGTAGTCGCCCGTTCCATAGGCTTCAGGTGGGCTGGCAACTTGTGGAGTCCTGGCACTGCTGACTCGGCTATGTGAACTGCCGACGGACACCGGCTGTGGAAGGGGATCTTCCTCCGACGGAAGTCCATCCAGATTGGCGAGGTCGTCGGCCTCCCTTCGCAACGGCACAGTCGTGCCCACGGAGTAATGCAAACGCCCTGGGGAGTAACGACCTAGTGCCTGCTGTGTGGGTTGGCGGTCAGGCAGATAGGTCTGTGTCTGGTGGTTGGGAGCGGTGGTGTCCCGCAGGCGTGGGTTCCGGCGTCGAGGACGGCGCTGGTAGTGGTAGACAATGGCGTAAAGATGGACTAATCGGTCGCGAAGAATGATCGAGCCATTGACGAGGCCAGAAAAGTAGCCAATGTATCTGCAGGGTGAGAGGTGCACGCAAGAGGCATCAAGAAGGAAAAAACAGATGGGGAGGATGAGATATGTTTGGGTATGTTTGTAGACAAGTCATGTTCATCGGTCGCAACCTCCAAAATACTAGCAAAATATGATCCACCATATGATTCCGTTGTACTTTAAAGGGCCCTGTGTGTCAGAATGAGAGGAAATGATTATGAACTTTTTAACCAATTTTATCAGAACACAGAACCAATTTTGTATGGCGACTCATGAACAGGCTTATTGAAGAAGTTGGGTGGACTTTCAGTTTGTCTAAAAGTGCATGAAGAAGAGATTCGTAGGTCGAACTCGCCAAAAGAGGACGGATGAATCTCGTTGTACTGCAGCCGTTTGGCTTTTATACGATGTACATG